CACTGGCTGAGAGAGGGGCGGGCGCAGCACCGAGGGTTGCGATCCCGTTGCCAGTCCCGGTCCGGTACGGGCGCGACACTGAGGGTTGCGATCCGTTGCCGGACACGAAAAAAGACAAAAAGGAAAAAAATAAAAATAAAAAAAATAAATAAATTTCTGTATAAATGGGCCGGCCCGGTGGCGCACTGTACTTGGGAGTGCGGCGGCGCTCCCACCGAGGGTTCGGATCCCACATACAGACCGGTTCCCGCTCACTGGCTGAGAGAGGGGCGGGCGCAGCACCGAGGGTTGCGATCCCGTTGCCGGTCCCGGTCCGGTACGGGCGCGACACTGAGGGTTGCGATCCGTTGCCGGACACGAAAAAAGACAAAAAGGAAAAAAATAAAAATAAAAAAAATAAATAAATTTCTGTATAAATTACCCAGTCTGTGGTATTCTGTTATAGCAACACAAAACAGACTAAGACATCTGGAGGGAAGCAGGTCCAAGACTGTGCTCAAGCCACTAAGATGCCAGAGGGTTTGTAGAGCTGACCCGGGTCAGAAACACTTCACAAGTTTTTATCTTGACCTAGGAAATGTTGACCTGGAGGGTCCCACCTGCCTGGAGACAGTGAGAAGCAAAATGGGGGAAAATCTGCAATATCCACAACAATTCCTGTGATCCCTCAAACAGCTATGTCCAAGCTTCTGGAATGTTCTAGGGGAGTTCAGGTGCACAAAGGCCCTCTACAGATGCCAGCACCTAGATCTGGGACTTCCCAGCCTCTAGAACTGTGAAAGCTCCCCATCTCCTGATTCCGAGTATCGGTTCCTCGTGTGAAGACTCGCCCTGTTGGAAGTTTTCCAAAACCGGTTTTCTCTGTAGTCCTAGACTCTCCTCAGACATGTAGGATTTAAACAAGAATGCTCAACCTCTTTTTCCAAAGTGGATCTGCTTCTGTGATACCAAGAAAAACAATGTTTGAATAAACTAAAGGTTTTCACATTTTGTATTAAAATATTTTATATTAATCATTCAAACTTCATTTTTATACAACGAATGCATACATCATGGGGGGGTGGGACTCAGTGATGCAGGTAGGGGCTGGGGGTAGCGCGCCCCGGGTGGCAGGTGGGGCTCATCTGCAGCTTTGAGAGGGGACAAGGCAGGGAGGCTCCAGGCGCTTCCTCTCCTCAGCTGTCCATCTGTCCTGTGTGCATTCTAGAAGGAACAGCTGGACAAGGTCACCCCACAGGGGATGGCACAGCAGAGATGGACCTACGGTGGCAGATACCCATGCGAGGGGCTCCCCCAGGAGAAGCGTGGCCTTTCCACCCATGTTTCTTACCCACAGGGGTGAGCTGCATCTGCTTACCCTGAACAAGCCCCCCCAAAGCCCTAGTCCTTGACCTGCGGTGGCTGTGGCATATCACAACGTGAGCCGGGGATGCTCTGAGTGTATGTGTGTGTGGATGGAGAGAGAGACGTGTGCGCTTTCTCCTCTGGCCAACCCTCGTGCCCTGTCGCCTGCACGGGGCCTGTGCTTAGGCGGCCGGCATGTCAGCCTTGCTGAGAGCGATGGCCAGCTCCAGGTCCTCCTGCTCCTGCCGCCGCAGCCGTGCCAGCCTCTCCTGCTCCGCCTTCTCACTTTCCCGCTTGGCCCATGCCAGCTGCTGCTCCTCATTGCCAAACTGCAAAGGAAAAACGAAGGGTGGGTTACACAGTCCCAGTGCTGCGACCTGACTGCTCACAGGAGATGGGACAGGAGGGAGGGGACACAAGAAGGGGACATGTCGGGTGGGGGGCAGAGTCCCATCAAGCATCCGGCAGAGATCTGGTGTGCAGGGGACAACCAGAGGCTATGTCTTGGTTGGGCCCAGTGGGCACCAGATGGCATGGAGGGGGACACATGGCTGAGTCTGACCTTAACAGCGACCTCTGGGCCTCAGAGGAACTGGCCGTCCGCCCCTTGCAGAAAACTGAGGACAGGCCATGGAAGCTGGTGGTCCAGAGGTGCTGGGTGGGCTTGGAAAGTTCCAGTGCACACATCTCTGAGTTTCATACACATCAGCAGCGTTAGAGACAACCCTGCAATCCTGAAATGCGGCATGTCCCCAGCCACACTCTGGGGAGCTCTGAGACGTGCTAAGGGTCATTTTACACTTGAACATTTACAAAAGCCCTGGCATTTAAGTCATCATTCAGTCAAAGAGCTTTTCCCTTGGGGTATTTTTCTGAAGTGTTCAATTAAAAAACAGTTTTTAAAAACAGGGAATCTTGAGATAGGTGATTTCAAGCCATTCCAGGCACCTTAGCTATGAAAAGCCATGCCCACGGCTCCTCCTGAGCCTGGGTCCCTGTCTCTCTGTCGCTCTATCCCCTCACAAGATGCCTCCAGCACCATCGCCCCAAGGAAAGCTACTGCCTGTTTAGGGATGTAAAGGTCTCCCAGAATCCATGTTTCTCTGGAGTAACACCAAACATAAGAGATGCAGGTGGCTCTTCCCAAGGTGCCCTCAGGAGCAGACAGACAGACAACCCCAACATGGTCCAGGCCCTGGAGGAAGCTCCTGCAGACCCCCAGAAGTGCCAGGGAAGGAAGCACACAGAGCTCTGAGTTGCATGACACACGAGCTACTGCCTGTTTAGGGATGTAAAGGTCTCCCAGAATCCATGTTTCTCTGGAGTAACACTAAACATAAGAGATGCAGGTGGCTCTTCCCAAGGTGCCCTCAGGAGCAGACAGACAGACAACCCCAACATGGTCCAGGCCCTGGAGGAAGCGCCTGCAGACCCCCAGAAGTGCCAGGGAAGGAAGCACACAGAGCTCTGAGTTGCATGACACACTGAGGGTGGGCCTGCTGTCATCTGTCCCTGTGACAGCTGGGGACACTGAGGCCAGGGAATGGGGGAGGTCTGAAGGGGTGGTGCTGTCAGGTATACCCGACAGGAAGCTCAACGTCAGGCCCAGGAGGCCGGTCACCAGGGTGTGAGGCTCAGTGTTCAGTCTTGCAGCTGCCAGGACAGGACAGGATGGGGTGGGAAAAGCCTGACCTTGGAGGGGTTTTGGACCTGAAGAGCAGCTGAGATTTCCCCATGGAGGCTCCTTAGGAGAGTAAGTGTGTGGTGATGAGATCAGCGGTTTCTGAACGTTTCACAGCTTGATGGCCAGCAGGGTGGGGGTGGGGGGCTGAGCCAGGAGGAATAGGAGGGCCACCTGCGGGAGGGGTGGGTAGAAGGAGCTGGGATTGGAGCAAGAGGTGCCATCAAGGAGGCGGCAGAGCCCAGGAGGCCTCCCTCCACTGGGCCTTGGGACTCAGACAGGGATAGGTGGGGAGGGTTGGTCAGTATGAAGAAAAGACGTCCCTGGGAGGACAGGCTGAGTCCTGATTTCTTGGAGGCACCGCCCAGATAAAACTTGGGGGACTGATGGGTCTCCAGGTTGGACTCCCTGAAAACTGGTACCCCCTCTCCACCTTGCTGTTTCTACCACAGGCCACAGATAAAGCCCTGGGCCCTCTGCTGCCACTCTGGTGGATTTTCCAACACCTATTGGGAGAAAAACAATGAAAAAACAACAAACGCTGGTGGAAATTATTCTGCAGTGCCTCTGACAACAGTGGGAGGGAACATCTCAGGTATCAGGGACCTCGCCCTCACCAGCCCAAAAGACTGGTGGGGGAGAGGAGCTGACCTCACAACTGGCTTAATCCAAATCAAAGTCTATAATCAAGGCCTGCTGGGTCCAAACCATGGCCCCCCAGTTATCTCCAGCCAGCTTAGCCCAACTTTCGCAGAATGTCACCGCACAGCCTCCCACTCGAGGGGTTGGCATTTCCAAATGAACTGTGCTCACAGGAAGGTCCCAGATGCCTTCAGAGTCCACTGGTTGGGGCCAGCTTATGAATGTGATAAGGAGACTTGCATTATGGACTTTGCAGGCACCTGAGAAGCACGCTGGGCTGAGAGAGGTCTCAAGAGAGGGGGTTCTCTGTGGTGTGCTCTGTCTCAAAGAAGAAGAAAATGCTGTCCTAGCCCTGCCTGGAGACTCCTCGACTGGGCCACTTTTCTAGTGAGATGGGCCCGAATCTGGAATGCCTTGGGACAGCAGCTGCTCAATAAACAGTGGCTGAGATTTGCACCAGCTCTGATTTCTGCTTCCCTCTTCTGCTGTCACAGAAGTAATGCATGGCAGGTAGAAGAACGCCACCCTTCAAGACATCTCCCTCGCTGAGGCCTGCCCAATCAGGATGCACAGCAAGTGGTTTTATTTCGGTAGCCTCTCAGAAATCCAGTTTGGAAAGCTGAGCACACCAAGCACCTTTCCTCACTGGCAACAGACACCTGCACTCTGAGGTGTCCAACAGCACAGGCACCAGATCGCGTGTGGGGACACTTCTAGCTACCTCCTGTTCTCATTCTCTCATTCTGATGCTGAAATTGCACCCAACTTATTGGATAACACAAAGCGCAACTGAGCCAATGTGATATTTGCCCTGCTCTTAATGCAGACTTCTGAAAAAAAAAAAAGAAAAGAGCCGTTCTGCTAACCTATAAATGCTGCCTCCTAATAAACACATTTGCTGGAGAGAGAAAGGCTTACTCTTAAAGAAATAGCAGACAAGGAAGAGGTTTCCTGTGAACAGCTACAAGCACAAATAACCCATTGATGGAAATTCAGGCCTCATAAATCAGAAGGTTCCAGAGCAGCACAGCCAGGGTGCCAGGGGGAAATCGCGTGGGGTGTGCATGTGGGATGTCAGTTCCCCTGACAGGCAACACGGATCCCCCTGCCTTTGCACAAGTAACAGCACATCTTGAATGGTACTCTTAAAATATCATATCTAAAATAATCCACTGGGCAGTTAGAGATCTCTCAGCATTTACTCTGGGAAGCGGAAATACTCAAACCAGAAGAACCAGCATTGGCTTTCTCTGAGTTAGCGCAAACATTCAAGATCCAGTGAACCCACAAACCACTAGCAGATGGGCTGAGCCCCGTGAATGCTATGAACGTGGAAAGACGTCCAGAGTCCCCAGAAGAGGGACAGCTATAGACATTTTTGGACTATGGTATGACCAAGGGGGACAAACCAAACAGATTAGGCCCCCTGTCTCTCCCTCACCCCATCCCATCAGAGTGGGCCAAATCTCACAATCTGATGATTTCCTCTGGAAAAACTGGGGCATTCACAGTGGGAAAGGTGATTTGAAATAGAACACAGCAGGGCTACACACTGGACTGGGCAGAGTTTGATTTCCCACCTGGAGATGAGCTGATGAATGACTAGGGTTGTTTTAAAACTGATCTTAAAGGGCTGGCCGGTTAGCTCGGTTGGTCAGAGTGCAATGTTATAACACCAAGGTCACGGGCTCGGATCCCTGCACCAGCCAGCCAGCAAAATAAATAAATAAATAAAAAGTGAACTTAACAAGTGTTTTTGGAATGACCAGAAACGTTGGGTCAAATGACAACTTGAAACCTTGGCTGTTTTTAAAAAAATGTTTTCAAAAAATTAGCCCTTTGGGGATGGGGAGGGGTCACAGGAAATAGAACTATGCATTTCGGAAAGAGAACAGTCATTTCTTCAAGCTGCCGTTCAACTCCACTTACCCAACTCTTCCCTACCCAGAACAGAGTACCTGAGTCATGTGTGAATAGCTCTATTTTTTTTCATAAGAAGTGAATATTTTCCACCAGAAAATAAACCAAGTGCTATTCAAGAAACTCTAGATAAAGGTTTTGTTTCTGGCTTTTATTAACAAAGTCACCCTTTTGTATACATCCACAGTGTGCTACAACTGTCACCAAAATCCAACTAACTACAGTCATAAAATATTTAAAGGTCACCAAGGGCCAGGAATGTGTCAAGGTCTTGGGCGATTTAAGCCACAGGATAGCTGTGTATAGTGGCTCCAAAACAAATCGGCTGGTTTTAAAAAGGATCTTCTAGGAGTCGGAGCAGCTATAAATAATACATTTCACAACTAAAGATGAAACAAGGTACTTTACAAACTCAAATGAAGAAAACCTTTTTTTAAAAATGGGCAAAAATCATACGGTGAAATCAATTCTGGGAAGATAATATCCGAAGCACTCAGAGAACAAGATTTTTGTGTGCCAAGGGGGATACTGAGAACACCCTACAGTGATGGCACTGTACAATCTGGAATATTTTTCAGGCAGACAAAGAAAGCCAGGCTCCCCAAATCCCGGCACTGGCTTCTGAAAAAGCACTACACTTTGCTAAGTGGCTTTTTGAGCCCTTTTTTAAAATTTAGTTTTGGCTAAAGGAAAGCCTTCAGAATTGTTGTTCCAGGTTGGATTTCCTTTTTCCTCATAGTTGGTAATTTAAATAAAAGCTTTTTTTCAAAAAGAAATCAAATGGCTCTTTTAGTTTTGGCTAAAGGAAAGCCTTCAGAATTGTTGTTCCAGGTTGGATTTCTTTTTTCCTCATAGTTGGTAATTTAAATAAAAGCTTTTTTTCAAAAAGAAATCAAATGGCTCTTCCTCCATGGGTTCCGCCTGGGTCCTTCGGTTCGTACTAGCCACACAGAATGCATGTGGGTAGGAGAGTCAGAGCTTGTGCACGAGGACCTTTTTGGAGACGACAGAACCCTGATGTAACTTTTGCAATCTGCTTTTGTACTTTGGGAGTGGCTTCAATGAACACAACAGCCTCCGTGAGACAGAAACAATACAAAGACTCTACCTCAAAGGACAGACACAGGCACGTTCCACCACCCTTCTAGGAGAAAACGTGCCCTTAGCATAGAGTATCCAAACCGTAACTCTTTTTTTATTGAGAAACCATTTTTTCTTACAGAAGTGGCAGTACAGAATAAATAACGCGATTGATAGCGAGAGATACTGAGAGACGTAAATATGTAAACTGGGAGGTTTGCTTAAAGACACACAAAATAACCCTGGAGAAGCTGTAACTGGAGGTCGGGAGGGGGTGGCATGGGAACGGGGGACTCAACTTACAGAGGTGAAGTCTGCAAAGCCCGAGGAAGAGGCCTTAGAAGGTTTAGCTGAAGAGGAGGGGACAAATGGATCTTTTCCACTAAACGGGTCCCCAAACCCCTTTTTATTTTGGAATGGGTCGCCGTTGTCAGCCCCAAGTGGCTGGAATGGATCAGGGGGCTCGGGAAAGTCTGCAGAACCAAGCTGGCTTACAGGTGTACTTTTACCTGGAAAGTTTAGGAGAAAAAAAAAAGAAGAAAAAAAAGAAATACAAGTTACTCACCGCGGATGGAGCAAGTGCCAATGGCAGGCCCCACCGCTCTCAGTGGAAACCCTCTGCCTCTCTGGGGACAGCCTGGAATTCAGCTAATGGGGAATCCCAACTTTATTCAAGCTTTATCTCAGGGACAGGAGAAAAACACTTTTGATGACTCACACACACACATACACACACACAACAGCTAAGTCTTAGAGCTGTGTTTAAGAAGTTTACATACAGGCATGTTTCAGTGATTCACTCTAGTGTGGCAACACGTTCACTGATATACTGAGTAAAACAGAAAAGAGTCATGGCTGAGCAGAAAAACACACTGCAAGCTTCTAAGAATTCAAAAAAGGGGGGAGGGAGTTACTCGTAACGCAAAGGGGAATTAGCTTCACAATTCGGGACAGAGGCGTTAGGTGTGTTAGTCGCGCGTGTCTGGAGACAGCACACTGGATAATCCCATTCTGCCGTCCTGAGGTTTAAATTCTTTTTCATCTCCTGCTCCTGTCCCTTTGGTGTTGGTGCCTCCAGGGGCAGGCTTTGCTTAGGACTCTCTGGGCTTTTGCCAAGCAGATGACTCCCGGTAGCCTGGATCCCAGAAAGGCATATCTTGACAGTGTCCTGAGGTTTAAATTCTTTTTCATCTCCTGCTCCTGTCCCTTTGGTGTTGGTGCCTCCAGGGGCAGGCTTTGCTTAGGACTCTTTGGGCTTTTGCCAAGCAGATGACTCCCGGTAGCCTGGATCCCAGAAAGGCATATCTTGACAGGGAGGCGGGAGAGAGGTATTTGGAACTGGAGGAAATCAAGGCCATGAGACCGTGAGAGAGATGTGGCTTGAGGGCAGGTAGCTTTTCCCAATGCATCCTACCAACATGCCAGAACATTCCACTAGGACCAGAGGCCTCTGAAGACCTGTTTATCAATGGGAGGCGCCACCGGATGAGCCTCCCAGGATCTGCAGTTGTTGCCGGCCAGCCAGGCTGACTCAGTGTCCCTGTCTGACACTGCTCTATCTGTCCAGTGGGTACCCAGGGTGGCTGGAGTACCCGGGGGCCAGATGGTTGATCAGTTCCAGGCAGCACCCCAGGCTAGAGGTTTGGCAATACTTAACATGATTCCAATTTGTTAACTGAGCTTCCTGTGTTGACGAAGTTTCAAAGCAATGTTCAAAAAGAAACCAAGAGCTGCCTGCCACAGTCCATGTTTGACCTCAGACATCTGGCTCCACGTCCGGAGAGTACTCTGGCCCTAGCCACACCTGCCCCCTGCAGCACCTGAGCTCGGGACACCTGCCTTCCTCACTGGGCAGAACGAGCTCACCCCGGCTGGCCTCTTGGTGCCTCCCTGAGCCCGGCTCTAAAGCCATCCTCTCCGTTTTGCAGCAGATCAACACCCCTGGGCCACATTTCTGAGGGTCCCAAGGTGTTCCTAAGGGCTCTGAGTCACAGCCTGTGCCTGCCACCTTTAGCTCTGCGACCTTGGCAAGGGCAGGCGCCTCTGCCCCAGTTGGCCTCAGTTTCCTTCTCTCTCAAATGGGAATGAAGAGGTGGGGGTCAAACTCAGTGCATGTGGGGACGGGTGGGAAGTGGGTCACAGCCCCTCTTCTGGAAATGGAAGTTTCTGGGCCAATTGGAGCCAGTGACTGTAATGTACAACTGTGGGCCCAGCTGGTGCATCTCAACTTGATTCACAGCCGGTGCCACGAGAAACACAAGTCACAGCCAACATGGTGCCACAGTCGGGAGAACCCTGGGAAAAGAAAACAGTGGAGCTCACCAGGAACTCTGGCACCAGTAAAAACCAAGACGCCTCACATGGATGGACTCAGGCACCAGGGCATGTATGCGCATCAACAGCTGGAACCTACAGGGCCCTGGCCCGCCCCCTGCCCAGCACAGAGCTGGGTACACAGACACGTGTACAAGGAGTCACAAGTCGTCTTCCTTCCTACAGTTTGCACAGGACGTGGAGACACACCTGCAGCCCACCCCTGAGACCCTCTGCCATTGGAGCAGAGTCTCTGTGCCCTTGGCCCTGCTTCTGCAAGTTCCACCCGGGTTGCCATCATGTCCCTGGCCAATGCCCGTGGAAGACCTTTCTAGGCTCGCACTGTCACAAGCAACACCCCTGTTCGAGTCCATCTACTGATGCTTCTGGAAGTGGAGCTGTGGGGTTGGAGGTCATGCCCACTGTGGTCCAGCATCTCAGTCTCACTGCCCGCCCTAGGCATCAGTCAGTCTCCCCTAATGGCCTCAACTCAGTCAGCCAGGAGGCCCAGTTGGCAAAGTGGGCCCTGGGAGAGAGGAGCGGCCTGCACAGAGAGCCTCTGCCCAGTCCCGTGGGTGAGCCATGCTGTGAGAGCCTTCCCCAGGAGGGCAGTGCCCAGGCCACCACACAGCAGGGACTGGGGCCTCTCTCGGAAAGCACTGACCCCTTGGGGTGGTCCCCAGCCCCTGCGCTTCCTGTCTCGTCCCTTCTCTCCTATCCCCAAACATCCCTCCTGCCGTCCTCCGCTCTGTGCCATCCTCCCTGCCATCAGCTCCTCGGGGGCAGCAGAGAGAAGAGTGATCTGGCCCCAGGCCACAGCCTCCTGGCTGGTTCCCTGGCCTTGAAGAACTGCCTCCCCCAGGCCGTCTCCCACAGCAGGCCAACTCCCCGGTCCTGAGCGAGTGAGCAAGCCAGGGCCTCCTGGGCTCCTGGCACTGCTAGGGCTTGCTGGTGTCATTGTTGACCCTTCCACACCTTGAGAGAGGGGCAGGCAGCTTGTAGACACTGGCTGTCCACCAACGGGGGCCAGGATACCCAGGGGCTCCCGGGGGGGGCAGGGCTGGGGTGCTCCGTCCACGTTCCCGCACCACCTCCAGCTCTCCCAGGTCCCTGGAAACTGCCTCCCTGTCTGCACCTCTGCAGCCTCGTCACACCCTGTCATTACTCCACTTAACTGTGTTCTTCCTCTCTCACTAGAATGTCTACTCTGTGAGGCTGGGGGCCCTGCTGTCCACCCCTGGGTACCCCTGCCTAGAGTGGGGCCTGGTGCTCACTAAACTACAGACTCCATGGTGCCCCGCCCTGCCTCAGGCCTCCAATTAGGGGAGCAGGAACACCTCTACACCCATACCAGCCTGTCTTCCCAACCTCATCTCCTGACAGCCCCCCAGGGCTCAAGCAGTACCTCCTTCTCCAGTTATCCCCAAACCCAGGGCTTCTTCCCTGGCTCTGCCCAGTCCCTCTGTCGAGAATGCATGCCCAACCACCGTCACCTTCTTGGAGAAGCCCCTCAAGGACCACCCCCAACTTTGTGCCTGTGTTCAGATCTGCAGGCCCAGCCCTGGGGCAGGGACCTCGCATGGGGCAGGAGAGATGTGCCCCTGGAAGACGGTGGGTGGACTGGCGACTACCCAACCACCCCATTCAACCCTGTGCTGGCTGCTCTCAGCCTCAGTTTCCTAATCCAAGAAAAGGGGTTGTGACGGGCCAAACCGTATCCCCCCAAAATTCATATGTTGAAGCCCTAACCCCTAATACCTCAGCATATGACTGTATTTGGAGAAAGGATCTTTAAAGGAGCAACTGAATTAAAATGAGGCCACTGGGGTGGGTTCTAACCCACTAGGACTGTTGTCCTCATAAGAGGACGAAATTTGGACAAAGACAGAGACACAACCAGATGAAGACACAAAGAGAAAACAGCCATCCACAGGCCACAGATAGAGGCCTCAGAAGAAATCAACCCCACCAACACCTTGACCTTGGACCTCGAGCTTCAGTGCTGTGAGACAATAAAGGTCTGTTCTAGGGCCGGCCCGTGGCTCACTCGGTAGAGTGCGGTGCTGATAACACCAAGGCCGCGGGTTCGGATCCTATATAGGGATGGCCGGTTTGCTCACTGGCTGAGCGTGGTGCTGACAACACCAAGCCAAGGGTTGAGATCCCCTTACCGGTCATCTTTTTAAAAAAAATAAATAAATAAATAAAATAAAGGTCTGTTCTATAAGCACCAGCCTGAGCGGACTGACACAGGGGCTGCCGGGAGCAGTCACTGAGAGCAGGTGTGTGCGAGGACCCACCACAGCCACAGGCAGGGGTGCCCTGGGGGACGCATCCTGAGGGATAGGAATGTAGGCTTGACTTGGGTCCTGCCCCCATGGCCTGTGGTTTGCATGAAGAAGGGACTCTGAGCTCAGCATCTACAGTCCTTGTGGCCCAGCCTCCTCACTGCTACGTCCATCAGGGTGACCATCACCACTGTTGGGTTCAGCCAGTGTCTTGTGTCTTTCCCACCCCAAAGCTCGCTCCCCCCCCCCCACTCTGTCCACCTCTGGTGGCCCAGTGTGGCCTCTGGCATGCCCAAGGGTCAGTTCCGTGAGGGCCAGGCCCAACACACCACAGGTGCCACCAAATACTGCCCGGTGTCCCTGCTGCCAGCCAGCCTGGGGCTCAGCACATGGAAGATTCTGTCTGGCAGGTTTCTGTGGGCCGGGTGCTGCCCGTACAGGCTCCGCGGGTCCTAAGGGACCCAGGCTCTTTGGGGAAACACCTCTGGGGAGCTGGGAGGGAAAAAAGGCATCCTCTGGTTTGCAACATGGCTGGTGTATGCTCGAGCTGAGTCTTCCTCAAATTCTATAATAATATGGACAAAATGGCAAAATCCTAGTAGAGGAAAAACTACACACGTCCAGAGGACAGAAAGTCCAAGGATGCAGTGCAGCCCCTTGGTACCCGCAGCAAGTCCAGAGGTGACACTGCTCAATTTCTCACAGGGTCTTATCACCTGCGGCAGATCTGCAACTATCTGGACAGGGGTGGGAGGGAGGCTGACCCCAGCCAGGCTGAGAGTGAGAGGCCACTACAGAATGCTCAAATCAATCAGCTGCATCTGGGCTTTTTCTCACCTTTGCAATGAAGAAAGACCTTCCTTCCCTGGTTTGGGGGATTTTAAAACAGAAAGAAAAATTGTTTTTTG